ATCTCTGAGAATGAGGTCAGCAATTTTAATCATTTATTATTAGTCGGAAAAATTCGCGCCGGTTTAGAAATTTCGAGATATTTCGAGATATTAGGAAGGGAGGGAGCGACATTCCGTTTGCATCCGCTACCCGAAAGAGTCGAACTTTATAATTGGCTTGAAAACACAGTCGCTAAAATTCATGTCTATGCGTTGCATATCTTCGAACTGCATGATTATGTGGAATTTTCATTCGATTCGGAGAATTTAACGCACGGTCCGGCGGGATCGTTTCGACTAGCACGCGACTTAACTCATGAGGACATTTGGCGTCTTGTGAGTTCAGTAGCGCAAAGCGCCGGTGATCTCGATATCGCACAGAATTTTAACGTACGCGTTTTCAATGTCACGGCATCCAGAGGTCGCGGGCGCCTTTCGAATAAACTGACGCAGAAAGACGTTGCGAAACGTTCGATCTTAACAATCTCCAATTCAGATAATTTGTGTTTTCCCCGATCTCTCGTAGTCGTGCAAATTTATCATGAACGTGAAACATTGCGAACGGAGGAACTTCACAAGTGATGGAATGTGGTAAGATGTCAGAATTCCTCGTTACAACACGATCTCGCGCTGGATTTGATAAGGAGGGCTAGTGTTACCATTCCACCGGAGGATTGCAGGATTCAGGAAATAGAATGTTTTCTATGACGCTTTCTCACCGCATCTGATATCGCGATTGTTTATAATTTTACTATTGGGTCTATGCATAATTCCGTAGCGAAATTCCGATAGATGTCGTTCGCAGTTATTTTTCCGCTCGCACATGTGTCAAACATATGAAGTGTCGTATATTAAGTGAAAGCTGAAATTTGTGCTGACATTTTAAGAAAGCATTCATCGAGATCCGTGATATATACGAAGTTTAATTATATTTTGAACATGGAAGGAAAAAATGTGTATTTTCGGTGTATTTTGCTTTTTTATTTCCGAAAAGGCAAAAACGCGTCGTAAACTCACAAAAAGATATGCGTCGTGTACGGAGAAAATGCCGTAAGCGAAAGTGTGTGTCGGAAATGGTTTGCGAAATTCGTTGCGGAGATTTTGATCTCCAAGATCCTCGCTCTGGTCGGCCAGTCACTACTGATGTCGATCAAATCAAGGCTTTCATCAACTCTAACCGGCATTTGACGACTACAAAGATTGGACATAATCTCAACATTGATCAATCAACTGTTTCGGAAGCTTGAGATGGTAAATAAACTTGATGTTTGGGTGCCGCACGAACTGAGCGAAAAGAATTTAATGACCGAATTTCAACTTGCGATTCGCTGCTTAAACGCCATCAAGACGAACCATTTTTAAAGATGATCACTGGCGATGAAAAGTGGATTGTCTACAACAATCAGTCGAAAAAGATCATGGTCGAAGCGCTCAGAGGCTGCTCAGACGGTCGTAAAGGCTGGATTACACCCGAAGAAGATCATGCTTAGTATCTGGTGGGATTGAAAAGGAATCGTCTATTATGAATTATTGCCACCCAACAAAATGATTGATTTGACCAAGTACTGCTCATAACTGACCAAATTAAAGCGAGCAATCGATCAGAAACGACCCGAATTGGCAAACAGAAAGAGCGTTGTGTTTTACCTGGACAACGCTAGACCACATGTTTCTCTGATGATCCGGTAAAAATTATTGCAGCTTGGATGGGATGTTTTGGTGCACTCACCGTATAGTCCGGACCTTGCATCTTCAAACTATTATTTGTTCCGGGCGCTACAGAATAATTTGAATAACAAAACCTTTAGTTCCCTGGATTCCTTAAAAACCACTTGGATGACTTCTTTGCCCAAAAATCTCAGGACTTCTATGAAAGAGGGATAATAAAGCTCGTGGAGAGATGGCAGAAAGTCATCGAACAGAATGGAAACCTAACCTAACATATTTAGTTGATTAAAATCGCTTTTTTTGCTAAATATTTTGCGTTTGAAATTTACTCGATTTTCGCTACGAAATTATGCATAGACCCAATATTTTTAGACGTGGGGAGAGACCTTTATTCGACGGAACCGCGGTACTCGCCTCTCTAGAACGCAAGTCCTTATATCGATTAAATATTATATATTACGAAGGTCAACATCACTATAGCCCTATTTTAAATTTAAATTTAAATTTAAGAGCGGTCGCGGGAAGTAGAGAAGGTTATTGCATATCATGCAATATCGGATATCGCGAGGAAAGAGATCACCGCTGCTCAAATAAATGTTCTCGATGTAACAACGTGCCGCCGTGTGATTAACACGAAATCGTAGAACTTGTTAGATGTCAGACTTGCAAACGTTTGTAGAAACGCATGCTTCGAGCATCATCTCGTGACAAAGTCGTACGACGGAAAAATTCCGGCGAGTGTCTATAATACCATTCGACTTTGCGAAGGTTGCGGACGGGTTATAAAAGTGACAAAAAGACACGAATATGGCGGTTCTTTTTGTAAAATTTGCAGTTCGCAAAAACCGCTAAATCATCTTTGCTACATGCAACTTCTCTCTCGTGAAGACAGATCTTCGCTGTTGAGTCCGACAGGGATTTTTCTGTAATTACGAGAGAGAGCGAGCAGAATAACGCGGATGAGCGGGAACGTAAAAAAGGACAAACGGCATTCGTGTTTTATGATTTTGAGACGCGTCAAGATCAATCGCTTGAGGGAACCGATATAAAAATTCACGTTCCGACACTCTG